TCTGGGTCTGAAAGACCCAGAAATAGGCTGAAACGGAGTAGGGCCTGCAGGCCCTCGTTTTTCAGTTTTCAGGCCGAAACGACCGGGGCCTGTAGATCCTAAGTTTTAGGCTTTTAGGCTGAATGTCCGGGACGGGTCCTACAGGGCCCGTGTGGCTACGCAGTACGCCACACTCCTACTCATCCGCCTACCCTCCTCCTCCTCTCCACCGATGAAAAATGCATGCCCAGATACCAAAATTCATCAACCTACGGATCAAGAAACTTCCCCGGACATGACCCACTCGTGTGAGCATGACATGGTGTACAATATATGTGGCACAAATTACCGGCGGAGTATTCACTGTACCTGGCTGTCATGCGTCCTTCCGTGAGCACTTGGATTACTTCCGTTGGTCATCCAATTTACCTGAGATGAAAACTGTCGGGCTTTGGCCCATGAGATCAGCCACTTTCGCATCATTGGACAGCTGTCAATCCCTTGGGGGGGAAATCCGCCAGTGGGATTGTACCATATCCAAGAACAGAGACAGAATGGGCTTGTGAGCCAGTCTGACTGTCTGAGCGAGTTGGCCACTGGCTGACGAGTTATGTACCTTAGGGCCTGGGTCGTATTTGACCTTGCTTGGTCTCCTTTGGTCCTTTTAGACCTTAATTGCCATATGTTTTGTTTTTTGTGCTTGTGGAGAGTAGTGGAGCGAGGCGCTTGCAATTCGTTGCTTAGGGTGCCGCTCCGTCACTCTCCAAATGTGCAAAATGAGACTGGATCCTCCGCTAGAACATGGAAAGATACGTTGCCATACTTCGTCTTCTGTGCATGTGGAGAGGGGTGGAGCGAGGCCCTTTTGTTTTTCTGTCATTTCTGCAGCCCAGGCATCGCTCCACTACTCTCCAAGGGTCTCACCACACTACTCCCGACTTGGCCATTTTCGGGAGTGCAGCGTCGCCACACTGGCTCCCGAGTTCAAGTCTCTTATACACATCTAGATGTGTATAAGAGACAGGTTATAAGACTGTGTTCGAGTTGTCATCTCTTCATTGATTTCTGGCTGTGATCACTCGGTTGTCTTTATGAATGATTGTTGGGACTTGTGTGGAGAGAATTCACAGTTTGTGTATTCTGTCACTTCGTTCCTCTGAGTCTTCCGCTGCGTTTCTTTCTGTT